TACAACTCCTCTTCGTGAATTTGGTATTCATTTTGACTTTATCAACACTTTGTTAGCATCTTATATATGACAGAGGCATTAAAATTACTAATTTAATTTTGAATTGTTATTATTCAGCAATTAATTTAAAAGAGCTCCCTCCTAAAGAAGAATAAATATACGAGTAGCCCTTATGGATGACTTCGCTGTATGCCTTATAGATATCTTCACAGTAAATTCACGTATCACGTATAAAAAAACTGCACAGCTGATTTCCAGTTATTTAATAACTAACAAAATTCAGCTTTAATTTATCAAACAGTGTTATCTTCACAGTAAATTCGCGTATCAAATATAAAAAACTGCACAGCTGATTTCCAGTTATTTAATAACTAGCAAATCTCAGCCTTTTAATTTATCAAACAGTGTTAACAAGAAAACGTTTACTATATCTCGATGTACACAGCAACAATAAGTTCAACGGAAGTTGCAATTAAAGAAGGCGAAAACTAGCTTAAACTTTAATTATTTGATAAAAAATAAATTTGATGTTAATTTTAGAAGAAAAGAAGTCCAGCGCTTTTCAGAACACAAGAGAATGCGCCCACCTTCTTCAATAGCAACTGCAACTTTCGCTCATGGAGAAAGCAAAGCGAAAGTTGCAGTTGCAAGTTTTCGCCTCCTTTTTAATGATTTACAATGAATTATAAATACAATCGTATTTTGAAAGAAGGTTTTTAAGATTTGGTCGTCAAATAATATTTGTTGCTGGAGAAGTTAAACATAATTGTAGATTTTATCTTCCGTATATATGATCATCAATGTATATTAAATCCTTATTAGGTCAGGCTATGTTGTGTATGCAATCTTGTATATTTTCAATCACAATTTTCTTACAGTTGTAAAATAGCACAGAATATGTAATTTCCATGCTGTTTAAATGCTGTACAATGGTTGTGCTGTTACAATGTTAGTTATAACATATACAGATTTACGACCTTTTGCACTAAATGCATGAAAAATCAACTGTAAAGTCATCGAAAGAAAAAACCCTGATTGGGTTAAAAACCCTTTCGATCATCTGAGTGCCTTCAATTACCATTTGTTGTTGCGATTAATCTCGCTTGTCTGAAATCGGAGCAAGCCCACGAAATTCATAGCGTCAAGAAGTCAAGATTGCGCCTGTCGTTGGCATTTTTTCTGCTTCAAAACGGGGGTGCGACTATTACGTGAGGGAGATTATTACGCAAGTAAATACGGTATTAGGCACTTCCATCAGCACCTCTTGTATTAAAACTGCATTACAGTGCAATATGTTACATATAACGAATAAGATAGCTCTGTATAGAAATTGATCTCGATATACTTGTATTTGTGACATCTAGTGTAATAGGAATTTTTAGGAATAGTGTAATAGAAAAGCACTGCTCATTTTCAACAGAAAATTAAAGCACTTCTCATTTTAAACGAAATTTATTTATAGTGATTAATAGAATTTATAGAAACTAATAAATCGTCAATTTTTTTGTTTTAATCAACATAACAGAAGTCAGAGCAAGAAATATACAGTCCTTTTTCGTATGAGAAACAAGGATTCTATTATACTCTGTAATCTAATTTCATGAGAAACAAAGATTCGGTTATATTCTGTAATCTGATTTCAAACTGAAACTTGAGAATCTGTTTGCAAAAGACCTTGACCGCTGAGCATGTTTAGGGAATTTTATTTAATGCTGGTTTTACTGTTATAGAACAAAACTTTGAAATCCCCCTGAAATCTTTTGCAGAGATCACCAAGCTAGCTCAGATTGTATGAGAAGCTCGCGTTCTGTTTTAACATATCAATTTAATTTTTGATCTCCCTTTTATAGCCAAGTAAAAATTTAAACAATTGATGCTTATTAACTTCGAGAATTTTTAAATATAGCTTTCATTTTATGTTATTTTATTTAAGCGATCTATGGAATCGTCAGCCTGTTTCTTTTTAGTCCAAACGGGCAATTTGTGCAGAAGGACTATTAATTTCGCTTTAGCATTTTGCGTTGATTCTACAAGCGTTGTTTCACTTTTAAAATTGTTGCCACCAAATATTATTGCCGTGCATTATATTTAAAAAAATTAAATAATAAAAAATCGGAATAAATGTATGTATGTTTCTCACACTGTGATAAAACAATGGTACCAATAGCCATCCAATTTTGAATAACGTAACCCTCCTGCAAATATAGGCATCTGGAAGCCGAAATTTGAAATCTGGACTTTGTTTTATTATCGACTACCAGCAACGCGGCCAGCCTTCGTCTGGCTTTTAAATGTACCAGAAAAATGCCTAAAGGGAACACCAAATATTAAATTTAAAAACTGCGCAGAATTTTACTCTGCAGAACTTCATTAAAAAGTAAATAAATAAAAAATAAAAAATTGTATTACATATAACAAATTGCAATGAAATAAGCAATATACCTTAATACAAATATTAATTATTCTAATAAATAAATTAACCAAAACCCCGTTGCAAACTCTTAAGAATTCAAATGGTATAAAGGAAATTAAGAATTTTGTTTTCTAAAAAAATCATGCAAAACTTTTTATATAATTAAAATTATGGTATGTAGTTAAAACATAATATAAAAAAACCACAATGAAACTCATATTTTCAAGAGAAAACAGTCAGCAGTCCAGTATCCAAAGCCATGAATGAAAAACTATTGCCAAAACCACATTTCTGAAAGAATGAAATTATCATCAGAAAGCAATAACCAATCAAAATTGTTCTTTGTGGATGACATAATTCAAAATATACAAACCTCTTTGCCTAATAAAGAGAGAGGGGGGAAAGGGAAATTATTTCTGCTGTACCTCGCGAGACACATGCGCGTCAGAATAAAAAGATTGCGATGTGTGTCGCGTTTCCAAAAATCAAGAGAAAAAAAAAAGCAGCATTTTATCTCATATTTTCAACAGTCAGCAGTCTGAATGAAAAGCTGTTGCCAAAACCACATTTCTAAAAGAATGAAACTATTCAAAATGGTTCGATAAAATCGAAAAGATAAAATAAGACAAAAAAATCTGATTCGAATTTTGAAAAAAAAATCGCTTCGAGGTGCACTGGCTCTTGTCTAGATGCACCTATGTACCAAATTTCGTAGACCTGGATCTACTAGCTTACGCGCAGCACGAACGAAAGACAGACTCTTTCTTTTTATTATATGTGGAGATTTCCTATTTTATAAAACTTAACGAATTTTTGATTAACAAACTCAAGGATTTCAAAACGAGCAATGGCAACGTTGTACAGAAAAAACATTTTTATCTCCAACGCGCGAGACTGTGTATCGGAAATTCTTAAAGATATGCTCATTTTTAAATTATTTTTCGATATTGCTGTTGAACTGAATTTTATGGTTTAAGTGCGAAGAACATGATATTTCATAAATAAAGGTAACACACAAAATGGTAAAAAAAAAAAAAAAGGCCTCCTTTATTTATTTATTTATTAAATTTTTTCCTCTTACAGGGTGAATTGGAAAAATGCTTAAAATTCTCTGAAACCAGTATTTCACAAGTTAATTTTTGGACATAATAAAATAACAAATGTTAAATTGAAACTGCGCTCACCGTTAATAAATTTATATTTTTAAATTTGTAAATTACTAGAAGAATTATATAACTCGGTCGAATTCTTTACTTTAAAAACTGTCAGTATTTGGCAATGATCTATTTTTGCAGTCTATTTTTTTAATTCCCCTTAATTTTAGTTATGTATTTTTTATTGGTTCGACGCTTGTTATTGCGACCCCTTTTATTATAAAGGAAAATGACATTACTGTGTGTGTTCCCTGCTACAAAAGCAGTTTTAGTGTACTTTCATCAAAAGGAGACATTTTTGCACTGGTTGCTGTAATGCAACGGTCAGTATAATAAACGGTCGTTATAACTAGCAGAGGCCGTCTTACTTTTTTACTAGTAAGTCGTTGGTTAAGTTTGATTTACGTAAGCGAAAATTAGGCATGTGCCCCGGGCATAAACATTTCAGGACGGCCCACAAATTTTTCCATAATTTTTAAAATATGTAAATTTTTAAATAATATTTAAAAGTATCATATATATAAAATTTTGAGCTTTATTTCTTTCTTACGTCTTTTTTTGAAAACCACACAGGGACCATTGCCTTGCACCTTCATTGGCGATTATTTAGCAAATCCTCTTACCTCTGTAATTTAATTAGTTTAGATTTATAATAAAAGCAACAGGAATCCTTTAGGGTTTTTTATAGCGTGCATTGTATAATATATTACATTCTTTTTCAAAAAAGTAATTCTGCTAAGGCATATTCAGGCGATATTTATAAAATGCTCGTTCTTAATTTTTGAAGAAAACCACTTATTCATCATTTTAAAAATTGTTTTCGTTAACAATTTTTAAAGTTAAGTTTCATTTCTATCTTCTTGCTCTATATCCGCTATCATGCAATTATTCACTGCATGTCAGCCATGTCAAATCACATATACTTTAACAATAATTTATTTGGAAGTTTAGAAAATTTATTTTCTTAAAACAATTTTCTTTTCTTTTCTTATTTATCGTATATAATTGTCTCCGTTTATTTTCCCTATCATCAAATCTTCTTCTAATTATCTACCTTACTATTATGATAATACCGTAGCACGGAAACACCTGCTGGTGGGGAGAGTTGAGGCAGAGGCTTTGTTCTGCCTCCTTTAAAAGAAGAAAAAATAATTTAGAAATATAGTTGCGATGTGCGAATTTGTAATCGTCTGACTCCTCCATGGGCTTTATGTTTGCTGCGAGGGTTTTGGTGAAGGAGTTTACCGCCGATACGCTTCGCTTGAAAATTTCGTACCTGTTATTGAACTAAAAAACGCACATGGGGAGGTTTTAGTAATATGCGATAACGTGCCAAGTATGGCAACCCCATTTCGAATGTTTTCCCTCCGCGTGCTTGAGGGCATAGAGAGCGCTCTCAGACCTTTCATTCGAAAGCTATATCACAGTCCGCGAGCTCAACCACGCGCGCTCAACCACGTGGAAGGAAAACTGAAGCAGATGATTCCGTTTGGTTGTAAGAAGAGGGGGACATCAACTCTGGAGGCTGAAATAATTGCTAGCAGATTGTTATCCAGCCTTTCTTCCTTCTGCTATCGGCTTATCCATTGCTGCTAATTGTTCTGTGAGTGAGATGAATCTTGCCGATCCGCGTGGAGATTTGCGTACCACCTTGTCCAACCTCGACGTTTATGCCATTATTCTCACTGTATGAATGAACCACCTAGTAATTATTTCATGGGCTTGACAATTCTACAATGTTACATGGAAGTGCTTATTTAACTCTGAAAAGAAACATCAGGTATTTTGATTAAGACCATGTAACATCAGTGATGGATTATGATCATCAATGGAATCCTAAAAATGAAATTCTGGAATCTTGAGCGCCGAATAGGTGAATTTGTTGACAGTTTGATCTCGACTTATAGGCAAACACGTGAAGTGATTTGCTCGAACTCACCTGTGATCGCCACCCCTACGGCATGACGTCATGAGGTTGGGTGTCCGGAGTGTGACGTCAGGTCTCTGGTGAATGTCGCCGGCGAAGGAGGAGTAAAAACGGGGAGTGGCTACGGTCGGTCCGCGCGGTGCTGTACGGGCGAGAACCTCCCCCCTCGGATCCTTCTTTCCTCCTTCTTGTCTTAACTCTGGGAGACCTCCTCTCTCCCCAACCGGTGACAACAACGGTAGTGGTTGGCGCGGCGGGCTGACCTGTCTTGTCGTGGTCTTCTTTTCGCGTTCGTGTTGTTTTTTCCCTGCGGTGCCGCTGCTACAGACGGTGGTCCCGCGACGGCCCTCCGCATGACTACCACGACGTCTTCGGCGGACAGCGGCGGTGGTGGCGGCGCGACCGTGGTGTCGTCTCCATCGCCACCCAACTTACTTCTTCAGGTACCCAGTGTGGCGGGGCAGCAACGACTTTGTGGCGGCCCAGGTCCGGGACATTCTCCCGTGTCCCCCGCCCCTGGGGCTCAAGTCCAGCTGGCCAGGCCGACTCTACTTATGGACGTGGTGAGTCAGTCCTCTTTTTAACAACATTATATAAGATCACAAAAGCAAAGAAGAAAACGTACTTAAATTTTGGTGAAAACGAGTAAATTTTTATACAGTGACGGACTTTATATCTCATGTGAAAACTATCTGCAAAAATTTAATGCAGAAATAGTGAATGAGCTATGTATATTTAGAATGTGATGCAATAAAATGGCGCGTACTTCAAATAAATAAATAAATTAGATATATGCTTAATATTATATCAGTAATATTTAAAAAATAAAGCCGATAAATAAATATAAAGGAAATAAAAAAATACGTATAATAAGAGGATAATTAGATTTGTTTTTAAAACTACTACTTAAGTCTCTCATTATTATTTAATGCTGTTTAAAATTAGTTAACTTTTATTTATTTCTGTAGTGCTCTTAAAAATTTCGTAGGAATTATTATATAAAAAATATTGATGATAATCTTCCTTTTAATTTTTTAACATGTCTTTACTCGAATTCCTGTTTTAAGTTCGTATGATTTTTCTTTTAATTATTTTATTTTTTTATTTTCCTTCTGAAATCTCGTAATCGATATTGAAGCATTTACTTTTTAAAGTAGAAGTTCAATACAAAAAAATTGCTATCTTACACTTTTCATTTTTAAATCAGTTTTTTAAAATAAAAAATAACACTTTTGGGAATAAATATCACTGGCAGTTTTATCGCATACGTTCATCACAAGACACTATACCTTCATTTTTTTTATTTGCTGTCTTATCTTTTTTAATCCTGCTTTGCCTTCAATCAATATTTGAATCTAATTTTATTTATTAAACTGCTCAATTTTTTTACTCAGTAAATAAATAAAATATAATTAAAAATAAATAATATATTACGAATTCATAAAAACATGGTTGTGTAAATAAAAATTCTACAGTACATGAAAACATAGTTAAAACCTGCAGTTAAGTGTTTCTCCAATAATTTGGTATGTAAATTGCAATTAATCATTTTCCCCTTTTTCTTCCCTTTTTTTCTTTTTTCCCTATTTGGAATTTTTAGTCTATATGTTTGAAATTATAGCCATGTTTTAACATTAAAACCATCCCTTTATTCCATTGTGTTCTTAAAAATGATCTTATGTTTTTAAGAATATTTTTGCCTTGGCATTCGTTTAAATAATACTGCAAAATTTTAGTTCAAAATTAACTCGGTAGTATTTCGTTTTGTTATAAATGCGTATGTTTAACTGATGAACATCCCCTCCCCCGCAGTTTGTAGTTCCCTGAAATAGTGTTGTTACAATTAGATTTTTATACTTTTCATGAAAAAGTAGTAAGAGGAATCTCCAACAAATTTAACTACAAAAAGATCTCCCAATAAATTTAGTTTACTTGTTTTATTACTTGCTATGCTGCAATAAAAATAGAAAATAAATTAAAAATCTTTTGTAGAACTACTGAAAACGCAGCATTTCATTTGGAACATGATAAATATTAAGTGAAAATGGGAGATTTAAAAAAATTCGTTTTACTACGAACAGTATTGCTTTTGACATAAATTTACGCCGATAGTTTTAGTGTTTTTAAAAATTTAGTGTTTTAAAAATTTAAATGATATAAGGAGAATATTGGTACTGATTTAAAAAGTTATATGGGAATGTTTGATGTAAAGTTATATTAGTCGGGAAAATGTATTTAATAATTAAAAGTATATCTTGAAGATTAAAACATTGAGAAGATGATAGCAAAAATTGAATGAAGATGGTATATACTATAGCCTTCACACATTCTCAGTGCGCATGATGCATTCTATAACGGAATATGCTCTGTTCTCTATTTTTGACAATGTATAGCAATGTGTCATTGTAATTCAATAATGTGCAAAATTTCGTTATTGACTATTCATTGACTTAAATATATAAAATAATTATGATGTCTTACTTATCTTTTCCGGTTTCGTTTTTTAAATCGTATAAGTTTTATTATTATCTAGCACAAAATGATGAAAAGAACAAAATTACCTTTCCAAATCGTTGATTAATATATTAATATTTTAGTTCTGAAATCCTTATTTAGAGAAGCTGAGTATAATCTTTAGGTGAGTATATCATATTAAAAAACATTCTGTTTTGGTTGATTAGAAGAGCCGTCTAAATGATGATTTGTTGTTAGCCGATAAAATAAGATTGTGATGACTTATATACTTAAAAGTAAATTTTATAACATAAAAAATGGATACAAGAGCATTAGAATTAATTATGTTTAATTAAATGTAAATTATTGAAAATTTTTATCTGCCAATTTCTTCGTCATACTTAAAAGGAACTAAACACTCTTTAATGATGAATATTTAATACTTTACAGCAGGGGTTCTCAACCGGTGGTACGCAAGAGAAAAATATGTGGTACGCAAAGAAGCAAAGTATTTTTAACTATTAAATTAAAAAATTAAAACCCCAACATCCTGATCGAGTTTTTTCTTTTAACACTGGTAAATTTATGCGATCTTAGCTTTTTTCAAGAGTGGTGGTGGTAATAGTACTTTGTAGTGGTGGTACTAATGGTTTTCAATTTTTGTTTAGATGGTACGCGTTAGTCAAAAAGGTTGAGAACCGCTGCTTTAGAGCTTTTAATTCAATTTTCGTACAATAGCTGAATATATTCCCATTATTGACAAATTTAATTAAGAGCAAGTAATTTTGTCTGCCTTTGTGTTTGTTTACTCTTTATTACTACCCTTTTAAATGTAGAGAAATTTCAGGCGAGTTTTACGAATAAACTTATATATCACTCATACTATCAAAATTAGAAACAGTAACATCTCTTGAAGATTTTAAATAAAATTTATTGTACATTCAAAGTTAATCTTGTTTACATTTAAAAAAAAAAAAAAAAGTAATTTTAAATGAAAGCAAAAGCTGTGATTTTGCGATCACAAAAGCAAAATACGTAGTAATGTCACATCAATTATTTTTATTTCCTATTGTGGTTGGGGAGGAAGCGAATTAAATAGCATGAAGAAATGTTTAATGAAGCCGTTGAAACGTATTAAAACTGCAGAGGTATTTTTGTACATTTACTCTGACTTTGTGGGGAAAAAAATAATAGTTATGATCTGCACACGGAACAATTAATTATGTTATATGCTAATAAAACAATACCATAATAAGAGAAAGATACAACCATATTGAACTGTGAGATTGCAGCTTATTTCTTTGCATAATTTTGAGTACAACTCACTGCTGGTGAAATGGATTTATTCTAATTCTTAAACATTGAATTCTTGATTCTTAACATTGAGAGTGTGACGTAGGCCAGTGGTCTCCAAAGTGGAGTACACGTACTCTAGGGAGTACGCAAAGTGACACTTGGGGGTACGCCAAAGAAGTACGCTCATGATCACTTGCGAATGTATGATCGTACTACGGGTTATTAGGAAAGGGATCATTATAAATGCTTCTATCATTGTATGGTATTGCTCCTGAAAATGAAGTAAATGTGGAATAAAATTAATTTACCCATCTTTCTAATATTAAAAGAGAGTTTTAATGGGACATGAACCCATTTGCTGAAAATGTAAAAATAGAGCAACTTTTGACAGTAGCTCAAAAACAGTTAATTGGCATGACAGAAAGAACATCGTTGAAATCCGATTTTTAAGAAACAAATTTCTTTCTAATTGGTGGGTTATGTCTGAAAATCGAAAATCCAGATTTTGTAAGCACGAATGCAATTGATCCTAGATATCTGCATAAAGTAGCGTTTTCTACAATGACAACAGTTAAAACCAAATACAGAATTAAATCGATTTAAGAGTTAGAACCAGATCTTCGAACTGTAGTGACAGAGGGCATGAAACCAGATTTTCTCGATATTACTAACGAATACAATCACATAGCTCACATATAATCTAATTCAAATATTAATTCGTTAATTTAATTTTAATGCATGTATATTGTTTAAAATGAATAGATAATAAACAACTTGATTTTCGACTACAACTGCATACACATGTATATTATACTATATTATTTCATATTACATGGGGGTACAACTTATAATTATTTTCATCTTAGGGGTACGCGATCAAAATGTTTGGATGTCACTGACATAATATAGTTATTCAAACTACAAAACGAGATATTATTGGTTAATTTCAATATCATTTTAATTTTCAATCAGTCATGAGCATGCCTTTTATTTTGATTAGGGCTAATAAATTGAGAAATAAGATTAGAAGGAAAAGACAGAAATTCTGTAAATAAATATTAAGAAACAGCACCTGTATTTACATGTAATGAAGGTTAAGTAATGTTTTATTTTGTCGATGTGTATACTTATGTAAATAAAAATTATTTTCGATGATTAGTAGTAGTTATCCGTTTAAAAATATGCAAATTATATGCATGAACAAAATTAATGGAAGTTCTTTTTAAAAAAAAAAAAATAATGTAAAGAACTGCTATAAAAATTAATTCCATCTTTTCTTTAAAATTAGGCAATAAAAGCAGGACACGCAGATCTAATTAAAACTGTTATTGATTTCGAAGCAATCAAACACAGGTCCGTCCTCTTCAGAAGCAAAAATTTTTTCTCCCTTTGAAATCCATTCTTTGTTTTTTAATTCAAATTTAGGAATAGGGAATGTTAGATTGTTAAGGAAAACAAAGGAGAGAAAGAGGGGAAAGAGAACGATTATCTTCATATTTAAATGCAGTGTACGGAATAATGCCAAGAACGTTTTTCTTATATTATTTTAATTAAAAAAGTATTGGCTATTTCACCTCTTTTTTTGGTTAAAAGTGCAGCAAAATTTAATTTTCATTGAATTCTTTATTTATTTTATCTTATTATGCTCTTTTTTCATCTTTTTCTAAATATATATTTAATTATTTATACTTTACTACATCTTTATTTTAGCTGTCGTTTTCAAGTGATATTCTTGAAAATTTCTAATAAAAATGTTTAATTCTGCAGTAAATTGTAAACTATAAATACTTAAATATTTGTAGATACTCTGTGC